GCTTTCATTGAATTCGGCCAACAATACCTCAACGGTTGACAGCCAACTTTCTACGGTCAAACGACAGAGATGGCGAACTATCCTCTGAGCCATGAACTCTGCAAAATTTTAAAATATTATATATATTACATATTTTTATTTATGTAAACATAGTTTTTATAAAAATATTTAATTTATATCCGCTGTAAAATTTAAAATTACTGATAATTATGCAGGTAAATTAGATTTCGTTTGGGGCCAGTTTTTTTAAAAATTTTATACTTAAAAGTTGCTTTAATAAGCAGTATAAAAATCGTCGCAAGCGAAGCCTTAAGATGTTGGTGACTGCAAATAATGATATTTTGAGTTCAAAATTTAATTATGTTGCGCCTTAGAATATTCGCAGCGATAGAGAGATATATAGTTTAACATCTTAGCTTTGTACGAAGATCCAGCACACAATTAGGTAAAAAGAAGGATGTAGCGTTCATAAGAGACACCAGGAGTTTTTACGTGGAAACTCCAAAAAAGGGGAAAAATCATGGGGCTTGACTCAGTTTGAATGAATCTAGTAGTGTGTGCAGTCGATTATAAATGATGCATGTTCTTGAGGCGAGGCCTTGGTTGATGTAGCAAATATATATCATATAGAGTGAGTTACATTGGGAATTTGAAGAATCAGGATTGACTATTAACATATTTGTTTGATCGGCAGGATCATAATCGGAGGGCGGCAAGGTCAGAAAGATCGTAATCAACGACGCAGATTGTAAAGATGTAAATTTTTGTGATATATCAATGTAAATTATATGCTTATTGATTGACTGAAAAAATTCAAAAGAAAACTGCCTAACCGTACTCTGAATTGAAAGGAGTGGCCATAATTTTTTGAGGATGTAAACAGCCTCGGAACTAAAAACTGAGGGATGGTTGTCAACGACTATCTTTTCATCTGAGACACATCAGAGGTTGAACAAATATCTAATTTTAAAGATTAATTACCTTTCTTATTAAAATCTATCTATTTCAGAGCTTCTTAATAAAATTATAATTATTTAAATAATTTAAATTTAATATTATACATGATGATATGATATTATATTATATAAATCTTAAAAAATATTTAATAAATATTAAATATTATCCTTATTTCTAAAAGATAAAAGGACAATAGCATAAAGCCTTTATTTCATTAAATAGATCTCCTGTATAAATTCTACTTTTCAATATGTCTTATTAAAAATCAAATTTTTATTTAAATCTAATTCAGAAAATATCTCTAATATTTTTGAGTTTTTTTTTATTGTTTTAAAATTATTTTTTTAGTAAAAAAAATTTTGAACTGATTTTTTTACCAAAAAATTGTTTTAAAAGCAAAAAAAAACTATTCCAAATGAAGCATGGGGTGGCTTTTTAACTTCTCTTTAAAATAAATTTTTAGTATAAAAATTAAATTGTGTACTAAAAAGCTGCTTTAAAAAGCATTAAAAAAGTCATATCAAACGAAGCATAAAATTTTATTTAGACAGCTTTCTTCCTACTTTGGGGTGGCTTTTTTACCGCTTCTTAAAATAAATTTTCAGTACAAAAATTAAATTTTGTGTACTAGAAAGCAGCTTTAACAAACATTAAAAAAGCAATCCCAAAAAAAGCATAAGTCTTTGCCTAAAATTTTATTTGAGACGGTTTTCTTCCTACTTTTCAAAGTAATTTTTTAATATAAAATTTATTGAACTCAAAATTTATACTAAAATTTATTTTAGAAAAGCTGACCCAAAAGAAACTTAACTCTTTATCTACCTCTAATTTTTATAATATAGATCAGATCTAATATACCTACTCTTAATTGATCCATAGGAAGATTATTTCCGAAATAAAATTTGGACAAAAATAATTGCAATTTTTTAAAAAAAAATAATAATATTATTATCAAACCCACCTGAAGCATCTCGCACTCCCTTTCGATTTTCAAATTCAAAAGTCTCGCTCTCATAACGAACATTTTTATAAAAGCTTAAAAGGCTAAAGGTGTAACAATAATAAAATAAAGGTAAGAAAGAATCCACGCACATAAAACTCATATACATTACAGAAGGAAACAACGAACTCTTCAGTAAAAATTCTACAGAGACCATTTGAAGGAGGCAGGTTTGACCCTTAATTTCGTGTGGAAACGAAGACTTTCACAGAAAAATTTTTGAACTAACCAGCAAAGGTGACGCTTGCCGTCCCGTTCCGTTGCGATGGGTTGAGGAAATCCCCGAACTCATCGCGCTTCCCTTGGCCGCCGCAATTGCAGAGTAGGTAAGCGAAGATGCCGCCGATGGCGCCGTTAGAAGCGCCGGAGTCGCTACCGCCTCCGCCGCCGCCCGATGGGATGATAGGGGCCGGCACATTTAGAATGGGGTTGATCCGAACCGCGCCACCGTGGGAACCTCTTTGGCTTCCGGTGAAGTAATAAGTCTTCCTCTGATTCGAATTTGACCTAATTTTCAAGCTACCGAGCATAGTCCGAGCGATCTGCGGCTGCTGGTAAGCCGGATTGGGGTACGAACCGGTGGATTTGCAGCGGTTTAGAGGCAAAGAAAAGATCGAGCCATGATCAGCCACGCTACCCACGCTGCTGCTTCGACCGAACCGCCAGAACGATCGCCGGCCCGCTCCACGAAGATCGCCGGCTGCTGAAGGGTTTCCGTCGCCAGATCCAGTGGAGGATTCAATAAGCTCTCGGAGACTACCGCGGCGATCGAAGATCCGCCGTGGAACCTGGCTGGCTGGTTTGTTTTCAGCTGGGCCGGGGTTCTTGAAGAAGGGGAGTATCTTACCGTTAGAGAAGAGCTCATCGGCATTGGATGCGTGATCGGCCGAGATCTGCGAGCCAATGCTGAAGTTGAAATCGCCCGCCACTGGTTCTAGCGGCAGGGAACCATCGGATCGCTGGCTTTCGCCGCCTCCGGCGGAAGCGGTAGGAATACCTTGGGAAAAGGAGATTCTTGGACTCGCCAAGCATAACTCCGTCGCCATTTGAGAGGAGATAGAGTGGGAGAATGAGCGAGAGATCAAGATCAAGAGAATCAAAGCTGATTAACAGCGTGAAGAACGAGCGGAGTAATTGGGAATATGAGCGAGGCGGAATCACGGGAATCATGCGCGGAAGCGGCAGCGCGGATTTGGTTGCTCTGAAATTCAGAACTAATAAAGAGCGTTAGACAGAGTTGGTCGACGGACGAAAATTCCAGTGATCATTTTTATTTTTTTTATTTATATTTTGAGATAATATAAAAAATATTTAATAGAATATCGAATAAATTTATTTAGGAGTTCCTGATTGTGATAACCGATTGGGCAGCGGCGAAATTAATCTAATAAATAAATATATTTAAAAAATAAAACATTGGTCTCTTATTTAAATATTTCTTTGGTAATTTATTAATTGTTAATTACTTGGCAAGGATTACAATGGCTTAGAAATACTGAACAATTACTTGGTCAAATAAGAAGAAACACGCAAAGGATGAGAAGATAGAGGCAGAGGTGAAGAAGATTAGTTAAAATATTAAATGAAAGCCAATAACAATAATAATATTAATAAGTCTCTATCTAACTACGGGATATTGGATATATGAATCTTTTTTTCAATTATGATTGATCAAATAAAGGCTAAGAACAAATAATAATAAATGAGAGGCCGCTATTTAATGAACGGCATTATTATTCTTCGATCAAGACGTCCCTCTCGATCTTATCTAACATTAGATTAATTATTATGTGTGGATATCGAACGCCGTCCGGAAATCAACCAAAATGCGCCACGTCACCCGGGCACTCGGTACAGCAGCTCGGTAATGCTTGTTACCGCTCTGTTCCTCGGCTCAGTACCGCTGACGTGGTGCATTCTTGTTGGTCTTTAGACGATGTTCAGTATTTTATATCCGCACCAAATAATTTCTCCTAAATTAAGGCAATTTTTGGGATAATTTATGTTTTTCTATTTTTTATTTTTAAATTTTTTGTTTTCAAACATAATTTTAAATATATCTTTTAGAAATAATTTTTAAAAGTGAATAATTTAAAAAACATTTCATCTAGACACACATTATTTTTTTATTTATTATTTTTCCATAATTGCAGTTCAAAAGCTGTCATTAAAACAGCTTAAAGATTCAATTAGGGCAGCTAAGAGATGTTCGTAAAAGATATTACAAAGAAGTGGAGAAAATTGAATTTTTAAAAATTATTGTGAGCATTATAATTTTTTCTTTGAAAGAAAGTAGAACAATAGTTTTTTTTCTTATAATTATTGTACTTTGGAGGATTTAATTATAAAAATTATTTATGCAACAAAATTTTTTTAAAATTACATAAAAGTTGTACTCAGTTTGAAAAAAAAAAAGTAGCTACATTTATTGAGTTAACAAATGTGGTTTTTTTAGTAAATAAGATCTTCCTAAACGCAAGCCCTTCCACTATAGATATACGGAGCAATTACTCTCACCTGTTCCAAGAAATGGCGACAAAGATTAAAGAAGTTATCGAGGGTTAATGTGGTGAGGAAAAGATTCTCTTCTTTAGCTCTCTCTAACATGGGGTGTCGTTAATTATTTTCTCATCATAACAAAATAAAGCATGGTACCCTCATGTAAGAGAACATTGAGATATGTGACATTACTCTTTTTATTCTTAAGGAAGGAATTTGTATGTAATAACTCAATTGCTCTGAGCATTGTAAATGAATAATCTCTTACGTCTATTTTCGATGATTCTGATTCTATAAATTTTCTCTCTTCTAAACCTACAAAAGATGTATTATCTCGTGATTTTATAATCTTTCATCATTAACTTTTGATATGTTATAGATTTGTCATTCTAAACAATTAAATATAATTTTATTGCATTTTTTACTAGTTAGAAATGTGTTTATGTTAAATAAGTAGGAAAAAGACATACTGAAAATGGGTTGAAAGTGATGTATTGTGATTTGATATAATATTACTGATATATTCTCAAAAAAATTATCTTGATCGGGCACGAATCTCGAGGCAAAATCGAGCCGAAAACTTAAAAAATTAAATTCGGGAGCATTTGAACTCCAATTTCAGCGAGCTTATAGTCAAACTAAGCATCTCGGAAATACGAACCCAACAACACCAAATTCAACTCAATCCGAGCCCAAATGAGTCCAAATCAAGCACCTGAAGTGTTGTTGGAAAGTTCGTACCATAATTTGAGTTAACAAACAGTCTGCGAATTTAACGAACTTATAGTTAAATCGAGCGACTCGACAAGACGAATCCAACGAGCCCAAGATCGCTAAATTCTAACATTATTAAAACCTTCAAATGTTTGACGAAAGGTGCACGATCAAGGGATTCAATATCATCTGTCCATTCGATCACTCCCTATTTTCCTCTGATCTTACACCTATTTACAAGCCATACCACTCTAGAAAATCTATAAATAGACCCATCATTTCTCATGAGAGGAGGACCCAAGCAAGAAGAAGAGAATAAGAAGAGAAGAAGAAGAGAAGAGAGAAGAGAAGGATATGAGTTAATAACTCCTCCTCGACCACCGCCGGAGTTCTGCCCAAAGCCGGAGTAACGCCAGAATTCTGCCAGACGCCCGAGTGAAGCCAGAATTCTTCCCAAGTGACGCCGAAATTCTGCTCGACACCGAAATTTTATCGGACTTCCAAACAACGTCAAAATTCTTCTCAACTTCGGAACGACGCCGAAACTCTGCTCGACGTTATAACTGACTTTCAATCCTAAAAAGATTCATTGTAATCAGATCATCCTAAATTTTAAGGATGAGTCAGCCTTTTGTACTTCAAGTGAACACTAGTGGAACTATTTCAACTGAGCGTGGCCCCGTGGGTTTTCCCCTTTCAGGGTTTTCCACGTAAAAATCTTGGTATTATTATTTCTCCTCTATTTGTGCGCTAGATATTCATATAACGCTGAGACGAAAGTGTTTTAACTCTATCACCGCGTATATTCTAGTCCGCAACAATTACAAAGATGTAATATGTGCTGAAATAATTGATAAGATCGATATGTATTTGAATGTAATACTGGTTTGATTGAAAAAATATTTTGATTGATATTAGATATATGAAATGATAACCTCAAGATTCGCTTATTCATTGATGTGAGTGATAAGGACCAGTAGACTGATTGGGAGTTATAAAGAGTCTAGGCGACTGATTTAGATGATTCAAAGGGAGTCATAAGGAGTACACTGATTGAGAGTCATAAGTGCATGAGCAAGATACCCTCAAGATGCTCTCATCTAAATATATGATAGAATACTAATTACTGATTGTTGATACTAATTATTACTGTGACACTTATTATTGAATACAGATATAACTTATCTTTATTGAATACAGATACTTATACTATTGTATAACTAATAGACTAGCAAAAATGATTGAATGATAGGACTGAATGTAAATGATTGTATGATAAAGAAAGAATAATTGATTGATATAAGTGGCTGGTACAAATAACATATAGATTGATTTATATATTTTCTTATATGATTTACAACATATTATTTCTATTTTTCCTTGCATTGATTTCAGTTGTAAAATTTTAGTTATTTGTCAGGCTTTTATGTTCATTACGTGGTTTATATCATTTTAGGAAAAGGTAAGGAGACTGTAGCTTGAGGCTAGATAGTGACATTAATATAAAATTTAGTTCTCTTTCAATTTCTCTAGTCTATATAGATTATTTTGTGATATATGAAGACTATTGTATATATCATTTTTTATCCTAGAGATGGAATGCAAATATGACTACAAAAAAATAGCTAATTTTCGATGAAATTTTCGGCGGAAATAAATTTGATAGAAATCCCGGCGGATTTCGGACGAAAAAATTTCAACAGAGTTTCAGCGTATTTTTTTATTGGCCAGTAGAATCGTGCCACGCGTTCTCATTATTTACCACGCGCCCCGATAACCCGACCCGGAACGGACCCAGGATGGCTCGGTATTTACCGATTTTGTTCGGTATTGGTCGATTTTGCTCGACAATAACCAATACCGAGTAAATACCGAGCAATATCGAGCAAATACTGAGAAATACCGAGTTGTATCGAGTTTTTCTAGAAAAACTCGATACAACTCGGTATTGCTCGAATACCGAGTAATATCGAGGAATACCAAGTTGTATCGAGTTTTTCTAGAAAAACTCGGTACAACTCGGTATTGCTCGGTATCGGTCTTCACAAAGCGATATTTCTCATTATTGCCGAGCAATACCGAGCAAATACCGAGAAATACCTCGTAATACGCGAGCATAGCATTCCCGGGTTCCGGTCCGGGTCAAGTTGTCGGGCCGTGCTGTAAAGAGTAAGAGCACGTGGCGACATGTTATTGGCGGCCAAACATAACTCTACGTCCGGTCAGAGGATGTAAGAATTGTTCCTGGCTGGGAGGGCCAGTTGGGTCGGTAGTTCCCAAGTGGGCTAAGAAGCAGCTAACTAGCTGCGGCTGAGATAGGGCACGTGGGCTGGCTAACTGGGGCGGGCTGCTCGGGTAGACAGGTTTTAAATTTTTTTTGTCCATTTATTTTTCAGCGCAAAAATAATCCGCCAGAAATATTTTTCCGGCGAATTTTTCGTCAGAAATATTTCGATGCATTATTTAACGTTGGAAGGGCTTTTCCGACGTGTGTTTTACTGTCAGAATAATTTTAGCCGAAAATATATTCAATAACTTATCATTATTGAATATAGATATTGATACTATTGTATAAATAATAGACTAGCAAAAATAATTGAATGATAGGACTGAATGTAAATGATTCTATGACAAAGAAAGAATGATTGATTGATATAAGTGGTTGGTATAATTAGCATATAGATTGATTCATATATTTTTTTTATATGATTTACAACATATTGTTTCTCTTTTTTCTTGCATTAATTTCAGTTGTAAGATTTTAGTTATTTGTTAGGCTTTCATGCTCATTACGTGGTTTATATGATTTTAGGTAAAGGTAAGGAGACTACAA